AAATATAAAATTATGTATAAATTTTACAGATGAATTACTTCCCATCTATTTGAGACACTTTCAGAAATTACTGAAAAATTTTAGAAATTAATTTCATGATTGAATGGTGTATTCACTATGGCGCATGGCTTTTAAGAATTTGTGTTGCAATATTTTAGTTAATAATTTCCTAGAGAAATTAACACTTTGAACTAAAATTTTATTTTTAATGTCAAATGTCTTCAAAATTTGACACTTAATAGAAAGGCTGTAAAATTTGGAGTTTGACACAAATACTTGACAGGGTTCAAAGTCTAGGAGGTTTTTTTAACCTCTTGAGCTTTAGTTTCTTCGCATATAGAAGTAGTAGCTTTCTTAATGTGATTGTTGTGGGGATTAAATGAGAAAAATCTATATCATATAGAAGGGGCCATTAATTCCCATTTCCTTTCTTTTACTATACAATTAAACAAAAAAAACCCCAACTGTCATCAAGCCAGTTCCAATTCATGACCACCCTCTCTCAGGTTTCTGAAACAAAATCTTTAAAGGAGTTTCCCCATCTTTCTTGAACAACTGGTAGACTTGAACTGCCAACTTTCTGATTATCAGTTCAGCATACCAGAGCGGCTTACTAATTATGTCTTAAAAATGGGATTTTTTTATCCTATGTAGTTATCAGTATGTTGATATGATACATAATTATCTTCTCACTCCCGAATATTAAATACAGAATATTTTAAGTGAGATTTACCTTTTTCTTTTGTTCCCTTTAATCCTCAAATCGTATGTGTTTCTGGAGGAAATACCTAGTTTCATGAAAACTTGTTGGATACTGTCAGATTGTTTCCAACACATGGTGATCCTCTGTACAACAGAATAAAATCTTGCCTGATCCTGTGCTAGCCTCACAATCTCTGCTATGCTTTAAGCTCGTTGGTTGATTCTACTTTACCAAACAGATGTCTTTTGTCAGGAATTGACCCTGCCTGACGTGCCCAAAGAATGTGAGATGTAGTCTCACCATGCTCAAAGAACTCTGGAGCCCATCCTTCTTTCTAAAGAGTATTCTGGCTATATTTTCAAGACAGTTTTGTTTGCTCTTTTGATGCTTTATGGTATATTCAGTATGTTAACATAAAAATTCAAAGTCATCAATTCTCATTTGGTCTTCCTTATTCATTCCTAGTTAAACTTTCACACACATGAAAACTCACCTCACTACCATGAGTCAGTTCTGACTCATAGTGACCGTCAGTCAGGTTTCCAAAGCTGTAAAGCATGAAGAGGAGACTGCTTATCTTTCTCCTTCGTAGTACTTGGTGGATTCTATCTGCTAAAGATGTGCAGCCTTTTGGTTAGCAGCACACCACATGTGGGCTATGCTACTAGAGCTCCTTACACATACATTTGAGGTGATTGAATATGCCATGGCTTAGTCTTTAAAGTGACATCTTTGCTTTTTAGGACTTTATAGTGATCCTTAGTATTGGATTGGTTCATTGCCATGTGTTTTTAATTTCTTGACTGCTAATTTCATGAGTGTGGATCATGGATCCAAGTAAAATGAAATCCATGACAACATCAATCTTCAGTCCTACCACTTGCCTCTCAGTTTGTTGTACTGTGGCGGCCTGCATATTGCTGTGATGCTGGAAAGTATGCCACTGGTACTTAAAAACTAACAGGGTCACCTGTAATGAATAGGTTTCAGAGGAGCATCCAGGCTAAGAAAGACTAGAAAGCAGACCTGGGTATCCACTTCTGAAATAGTAACCCTATAAATAGTAGCAGCAGAGTTTGGGTTTTAAAATTCCACTTAGATGTCCCACTGGGTAAATAGACTAGATATAAACTTTGTTCTATGCAATTTTACTGCTTCTGGTCGCCATCAAGTTTGTTCTCACTTTGTTATGTGACTAAGGTGACCTACCCTGTAGGTTCTTCTTGGCTGTAATCTTTACAGAAGCAGATATCTAGGTCTTTACATATGAGGAACAATTTGGTGAGTTTGCACAATCAACTTTTTGGTTAATAGTTGAGTGCATAACTGTTGAAACATCAGGGATAATGAATACCGTAAAATCTGGTGATTTTTGATTGTGAGTCCCAAATTAAAGCAGTTAACCATCAAGTGTGAATATCTATGGTTTTCAAGGAGGAGATGAATCTTAAGAGTTGCATTGAATATTTGTTTTTTGCAACCTCAATTTCACAGTCCCAATAGATGTTTTGAACTTGTTTGTATTCTTGTTGTTGTCTTTAGAATAATAGTATTGGGATATAGAACAGCGGTATGCCATATGGTAAAATCAGAATTATTTTTGTTTTTCTTCTTTTGGGTTAGATCGAATGATTTAATATAGCTTTGTATCTCTTCAGAGTAAGAAATAGGACAGGTTTAAATAAAACAATGTTAAATAAAATTTTTTTTTTGCTATCTGAAAATTTATTTCCAGATTTTTTGATACCTTCTAGTGATTCAACCATTTTTATTTGATTTAAATAATTATTCTGCATGTAGCTACGTCCACAGTTTAAACAGCTCAGAACCAGTTACTGAGCTATTTCTCTACAAAGATAGAGTGATCCAGTCCTGACTTTACTGTAATCATTTTAGTGACTCTGTTAGTTGATACTATACTATGAAACTATCTGGGAAATAGTTTTATCTTCTGAATTTTCCCTGTAATACTAAAATACAGGAGTTAATAGAACTAATAAAATGACAGGAAAGTAAAGGCATCGACAGTCTTCAGGAGTATGTAGTAAGCCATTGACCGAACTTCAGATCCTTAAAACACAGTTGGGCTGTAATCTTCAGTTTAGTCCTGAAAACTTTTCAAGTTATATAGCTGTGCAAATATTGTATATTTGCACAGGGTTGTTTTGAAGTTCAGATGGAATCTACGTGATAATGACACTGAGTAAACTCTGAAGTGCCTTACTTATAGGGCTCCTGTTTATGTATAACAGCTTTGCTTGATAGTTATACACCCATTTTTTTAAAAAATAGAGAAAGCTATGGGGATGTTAAGAGCTTTTAAAATTTCTTTTTATTAATGTATTTCTAAATACATTTTTATATCAGCTAATATAATTTTTAAATGAAAAATAGTACTTTTCATGTATATATATTATAGAAAAGTGTAGTACTGTAATTTGAGTTCTATGAATTCTGTGAAAAATGACTTGAAAATACTGTGCTAATATATAACATTGATTTTACTTTTCCTTTCTTTAGAAACATTAAAGGAAATTGATGATGTCTACGAAAAATATAAAAAAGAAGAGGATTTAAACCAGAAAAAACGTCTACAGCAGCATCTCCAGAGAGCATTAATCAATAGTCAAGAATTGGGAGATGAGAAAATTCAGATTGTCACACAGATGCTTGAGTTGGTGGAAAATCGAGCAAGACAAATGGAGTTACATTCACAGTGTTTCCAAGATCCTGCAGAGAGTGAAAGAACCTCAGAGAAAGCAAAGATGGATTCCAGCCAACCAGAAAGATCTTCGAGAAGACCCCGAAGACAGAGAACCAGTGAAAGCCGTGATTTATGTCATATGACAAATGGGATTGAAGACTGTGATGATCAGCCACCCAAAGAAAAGAAATCCAAATCAGCCAAGAAAAAGAAACGTTCTAAGGCCAAGCAAGAAAGAGAGGCTTCACCCGTTGAGTTTGCAATAGATCCCAATGAACCTACATACTGTTTGTGTAACCAAGTGTCTTATGGAGAAATGATAGGATGTGACAATGAACAGTGTCCAATTGAATGGTTTCACTTTTCATGTGTTTCACTTACCTATAAACCAAAGGGTAAATGGTATTGCCCAAAGTGCAGGGGAGACAATGAGAAAACAATGGACAAAAGTACTGAAAAGACAAAAAAAGATAGAAGATCAAGGTAGTAGAGACCATCCACATTTTAAAGGGTTATTTGTCTTTTATATGATTTGTTTACTTTCAAAAAAATGTTTTAGGGTAATTGCATAAGACTATGCAATAATTTTTAATCATTAGTATTAATGGTGTATTAAAAGTTGTTGTACATTGTCTGTGACCTTAATTTTCTGCACTGAGTTACCAAATAATTTAAACCAGGTAGTCTTCAGATCACCTGATGAAAGAAACAGGGAATAGGGAGAAGGTGGTATGACCGTTACAAACACTTACAAACTATGCCTATTTCATTTTCTCATAAAGCTACAATCAATGCTTTTTTGCCCCTCCCAAACACCAAAGGTTTGCTAGCATTCTAATTCTGTATACTTAAAAATCCAGATAGAGTTGGGTTTCTCTGTAAGCATCAAATTATCTTAGGTAATTTTAAATAACACTATCATTTAAAGCTTTCTCACTAGCCCCATTCGTACTTTTACTTGCTCATCTCTAGTCTTCCAGGAATTTAATGAACTAGAGATAAGAATAATTTTGGGATTCCATGTGGAATAATGTGCTCTTAATAGAGTATATGCTGCTGTATTTTCCTTAGTAGCATTTTGATACACTGTCAGTAGACCATTTGTAAATGCTTGCTGCTTCATAGATAATGTTTATGTGCTTAATAAAGGGAATTGGTTTTTGTTTTGGTTTAATTGGGACAATTAAGAGTAATTAAAATACAAAGAAATACCGCCTTTGGTTTATATTGGCAGAATTTGGTTTATAAAGTATCATGGTTCAAAGTTAAGGAGTTTTATTTCATACATTTTTCCGTGTGATCCACTGCTAGGATATTTAGCTATGGTCCTATCAGTGGGAAAAGGGCATATATTAATCTTTAAATACTGCCATTATGTCAAACAGTTGTTTTAAATAATTTTATTAGTGTTGGTAATTTCTGTCCCAATCAATGATTACACATTATTTTAACTAATAATGTATTTACCTTCTTAACTTTCTGGTATTGGTGCTGTTTGATGTTTTCACCTTGAATGAACTAATTTCATTATAACAATGCAATTAATACTGTATTTGTAAATTGAATTTTTGAAGATTCTAATATTTTAAGTGGCAGCTTCTTAATAGATTTATGTCCATGTTTGCATTTTTTTTTCCATCCTGAGGGCAGCAGATTGGCAAACCCTCTTGTTCTATGTGTAACATACTTTCTAGTCCTCATTTCCTCCTAATCTGATGATCTTGATTATTTGGTTAATATATGAAAAATCTTGTCTGCTTATTTGAAAGAAAAAAGGAGGGGTGTTATTTCTTTTTCAGCTCTCCTGTGTGACTTTTAGGTATGTCATTTCACTTCATCTAGATGTCAAAGTCATCGCTTATTTGTAAAATGATGGTGACTTATATATCCAAGGTTCTTTTCAAATCCCTACTATTTGCATTGTAGTGAAGATTTTAAAAATTTAATGATGAAATTACTTGTTTTCTCTTTCATTAATTTTTGTCCTTCAGTCTGAGGTATGAAGGCAAAAGTTTAAAGGTGAGCACAGGGACTGGACAAATAAAATGCACAATATTTGATTACCTTCTATCTTAAAGATATTTTGATTGATGACTACAGCCAGTGGGTTATATTCTTAAGTGACAAATTTTGGACAACATGACTGAGATATTATTTAATTGTAACTTAGTTGAGTTATATTGTAAAGAAATTCTTTTCAGAAATGACATTGTTTGAGTGATCACATCTGTTTATCTTGACTCCATTAAAACTATCAGTGTGTCCAAAGCACCCCAAAGTATTCAGATGTTACATATGTATGTCACACATTTTCCACGCATGAATTTGCCTCAGCAATTAGGAAAACGATAAATACTCTCATTTTGGGTTGTTGTTTGATGTTGCATAGGAATGAACCCATAGTAGACCTCCAGTTGGTTTTCAGAGGCAGTAAATCGCATGGGAAGAAACTGCCCATCTTTCTCCCATGGAGCAGCTGATGTTTTCAAACCATGGGTTTGCAGCTCAGTTCCTAAGCACTAAGCCACCAGAGCCCCCTGGATTATATTTGGAAAGACATAGAAGGTCACAGAAGATGTGCTTTCTCTCTAAGATCTAATATTTGAAACGGGGTTTTTTTTTTCTTTTTTTATTAGTTTGATTACAAAGTTTACAAATATTGTGTTTTACACCATTATTCACATTTTGTTTCATAGTCATTCTCATGCATTATGTTTTATAAAATTAATCTACCTTGCCCATCATTATCCTGGGGGGTTTTTTTTGCCCAGATCCTTCCCATTTCCTTACCCCCCTCCCTCCACCCACCAAACTCTGTAACCCTGTGGTTTCACCCCTACCCATGCTCCCAGCCTTGAGTTCCCATACATGTTTTACTAGTTATTCTTCTATTTTTACAATAATGGTTTTACGCAGTATTTGTCCTTATGAGACTAAGTTAGTTCACTCAGTATAATGCTCTCCCAGCCTCTCCCAAGTTATGGAGTAATTTTCGAAATTGTTGCTCTTGAGTGCTGCATAGTATTCCATTGTGTGTATGAATGTACCATAATTTCTCAATCCATTCAGTCGTGGTTGGACATTTGGGATGTTTCCATGTTCTTGCAGTGTTGTACACTGCTGTGAACATTAGTGTACCAATCTCCGTTTTGTCTCAGTCCTAATTTCCTTGGGTTATATTCCTAGTATAGGAATAGCTGGGTCATAGGGTGTTTCTATATTCAATTTTTTTGAGGAAATGCCAAACTGACTTCCAGAGTGGTTGTACCATTTTTCAATCCCACCAACAGTATATGAGAGTTCCCACCTCTCCACATCCTCTCCAACATTTTTGCATGGTGCCCTGCTAAACTTTGCCTGAAACGGTTTTATTTTTAGGGATTTCTTTTTGTTTCTATATGACGTAGGAAGTGAAATGTGCTACAGTACTAAGTTGCTACCATCAAGTCAGGGACAACAGATCTGAACCCTATCTTAAACTTTGTAATCCTCATCATTTCTGACATATTTGAGAGCATTGCTGCAGTCACTGTGTCTGCCCATCTAGTTGAGGGTCTTCCTCTGTTTCACTGATCTGCCACCTTTCCAAGCATGATGTCTCTCCGAGAAATAGCTTATAGCAACTAATCCAAAGTATATGAGATGAAGAATTGTTGACTTTGCCTCCAAGGAACATTCTGGCTGCACTTCTCCAAGACATACCTGTTCTTTTGACAGTCCTTGGGATATTCAGTTCTATTCTCTAGCACCACAACTCAAAAGGCATTAATTATTTTATTCTTTTGTCATCCTTGTTCATTGTCCGATGCATTGCATGTGATGGGAAAGACAATGGCTTCAATCAGGTGCACCTTAGTATTCAGACTTATAGCATTCATTGCTCCTTAGTAATTTAGAGAGGTTCTTGGCTGCGAACTTTTCCAGTGCAATATGTCTCCCAGTCTCCTGACAGCTGCTACGAAGGGTGTTGATTGTGGATTAAAGTAAGATAAAGTCATTGACAATGTCAGTATTTTCTCCATCTGTAATGATACTGCCCATGGGTCCAGTGAAAATTTTTTATTTTCTTGACCTTGAGATATAATCCATATTGAAGACTATTATAGTCTTCTACAGCAAGTGCGTAAGTCCTCACTTCGAACAAGCAAGGTTGTGTGGTCTGCATCACAAGGTTGTTGATGAATCTTCCTTCAAATTTGATTCCACATTCTTATTCACAAAGTCCAGCTTCTTGAATGATTTGCTGAGCATACAGCTGGAATAGGTATGGAGAGTGTATACAGCCCTGGCACATACTTTTCTTATCTTGTGAACAGAGCAAGTGAATACTGTTGTTATGTGCAGTCGAGTTTGCCTGTGACTCATAGCGCCCCAATGTACAACAGCCTTGAAGCCTGCTCTGTCCTGAGAGAGTCTCATTGACACACCTACCCCCATGGTCGTAGTTACTGTATCAATCCATCTCATCCAGGGTCTTCCTTTCCTGCCCTCCACCATTCCAAGCATGATGTCCTACTCCAAAGATTGGTCCCTCCGGACCACATGTCTAAGTATGTGAAATAAAGCTTCAAAATCCTAACCTCTAGGAAGAAACTTGATTTCACCCTCTCTAAGACCTATTTGTTTTCTTGGTGGTTCATGGTATGTTCAAGACTCTTCTCCAGCACCACTACTCAAAGGCATCAATTCTTCTGTCATTCTTAGTCATTGTCCAGCTCTCTGATGCACAGCAAGGAGTTGTGAAACCATGGCCTAGATTAGACGCACCTGTCTCTAGACTGACATCATTGCTTCTCAGTTATCTGGAAATGTCCCTGACAGCAGATTTACATAATGCAATTCGTCTTTTGATTTCCTGACTGCTGGTGCCAAGAGTGTTGATTGTGGAGCTGAGCAAGGTATAACTGTTAACAACCTCAATCTATTCTCCATCTATGATGGTGCTGCCAATTGGCTCAGTGGTAAGAATCTTGGTATTCTTGATGTTGAGCGTCAACCCACATTGAAGATTACAGTTCTTGACCTTCTGCAGCAAGTGCTTCAGGTCCTCACTTCAGCAAGCAAGGTTGTGTCATCTGCATAACATAGAAGGGAACATTACATGGTATAAAATCTAAGAAGGAGATGTGTCAAAGTACTATAGATCTTCTATACTGTCTTTTTAAAATTTTTTAATTTTTTATTACTTGTGTGTGTGTACCGTCAAAATTGGATCTGACTGGTACAGGAGGAGATTGTCCCTCCTTCCCCGGCAGAGCATCTGGTGGATTTGAACCGTGCGCCTCTGGGATTGCAGTGCAGCTTCTTGCCACTAGGCCACCAGAGCTCTCCTGATCTTCTATACTGTCTTACGGTTAACACACTATATACCAGTGATCCTCAAACTGGATCTTACATTGAATGGTCTTATTAGAATTACTTCCAGAACTTCAAAAAGATATCTGTGCTACCTAGAAAATGTAATCTCAATTCAGAAGACTCTTAGGTGATTTTCATGTGCAGAAAAATTTCAAAACTGTCTTGTATCAGAAATTTAAACCAATTGAAAGCAACTAGTAGAGTGTTTAGATGTATGCGTCTATAGAGAATATAGCCAGTTCTAAGAAAAAAGACATCAAGCTTAAAGGTGGAG